ACTACTACTACTACTACTACTACTACTACTACTACTACTACTACTACTACTACTACTGCTGGGCGTCGATTACAAGATCGACCTTGCAGGGGGTCGATTGCAAGAGGGAAGGGTTTCAGATTTGCCTCTTGGTGCGCTCTTGGGGCCGTCTTGGGACCGTCTTGGGGGCCTCGTGGTCCCCTCTAAGGGCTATCTTGGGCAATCTTTGGGCCACAGCGTGAACTCAGAAGCCCATCAGAAGCGAAAAAACGAAGAAAAGGCGCACATCATTGATTTTCCTGTGGCTTCTTCACGATTCAGGCCTCTTTGTGGGTCCGTGGGAGGGCCCTGGAGCATTTGGAATCATCCTGTGGCTCTGTTGGGGCCTCTTGGAGGCATGACGGAGGTCATCTTGAACCATCACCGGCAGTCTCGGGCAATATTGGGGGCCACCTCGAAGCATCAGGGGCACTGTTGAAGCCATCTTGGGCCATTTGGGGGCTCTAACCGCTCCGTCCAGGGCCCGAGAAGCCTCAGCGAAGGGAGGGGGAGGGTACCCCTCCCGGAAGGGGAAGGGGGATTTTGGAAGAGGCGAGAGAAACCCGCTAGGCGACCTACGCCCAGAGGGCTGGTAGAAATCATACGTCTGCTGTACACCGTATCGCATATATTGTGAACTGCTCACGGTACGATACAACGACACAAGTACACTGTTGGAACGATGCGAGCTGTAGTGTGCCCATGACGTATAGCACTTCCGCTGGCACTTTGCTGCATCTTGTGCTCTCCTGCTCGTGTGCTGCTACTGTACGACATCTATATTTCTAGCACAACTGCACCAACACGAGATTGTTGTACTCGTACGACTACGACCGCTATCAAACCATTGGAGTGCTGCTCTGCTGGGCCAGTATTCTACTACGCAACTAGTTATATTATGAGCCGTGCGCTGCTGCTTTGTAGTTAAAATTACCATCACTACGAGCATCATGGGCCAACAGCAACATACGTACACGTACGTGGTCAGCCTGTGCAGGTTTGCGTTTCAATGCCGTCACTCGTGCACGCGGGACCTCGGAGAGCATACGTGTGTATATATACATATGTTTGCCAGTTCAATTGCTGTGTCGAGAAGACACTGTCTGCAGAGTCAAATGCGCACTGCGCGGTGTGCGCCGTGCCGCTACCAACACAGAAAGGTCATCGCGTTCTTGCCGCGGTGCACTGTGCAGTGTGCGCCTCAGTGCATTTGCTCCACTACTGTTCTGTTGTTGTGTGAGCATCTTGAACCACCCTAGTCCTATTCCAGCTGACGCTGTCATTGTGATATTCTGGATCAGTGCATTGCTTCTGCAGTCCTTGTTGCTGCATTATCACTGCCGTATTACAAGTTCCAGCGCCGCTGCTACGCAGTGCATCTACCATATGACTAATGACGCTGTGTGCCACAGAGTACCAGTGCCACACGCACTAACGTGCATTGAAAACTTCCACTATTCTTTGTGTGCTGCAAATGTTCGATGCCCTCTGCAACTAAAACGGCAACTGTTGCGATGGCCGTTACTGATACGCGTTGTGAAAATTAATTATGGGTTGGGCGTTGTGTCGCTACCTAGACTTCACAGCGTCGTGTGGACTGTTCGCTACACCACTGCACACGTTGACACGTTTTGAGACCCTGAAGACTGTGAAGCTGTGATCCACCCGGTGTTTTTTTAAGCACGCCAGCTTCTATCTTGATCGCGCATCGTGGTGTCCGTGAGCTCGAAACATTACGGACCGCGATGGAGTCCGAGCAGCAGTCCTCCCTCCTCCCCCCTTTCCCCCCTCTTCTCCCCCACCTCGGGGGCGCCGCGCCCCAGGTCCCTCTCCCCCCAAGCCGCCGCCGCAGGGGGAGCTGATCCACACGGTCAAGGGCTTCTTCGAGGCCATGCAGAGCGGCCTCGTTGACAGGCCGATGCCGACAGCAAGAGCAGCGGGAGGAGGAGGAGGAGGGGACCAGAGGAAGTCCAGGATGCGTCAGCGATGTTGCGAAAACAGATTCCCGTGCCAAGTTCCTCCCTCACAGGTCCCACCAGGCTTTCCTCTTCACTCCGAGAGTCACCCCCCTGAAAGACCAGCACCCTACATCGGCCTGCCTGCCAGTCAGGCCATGGCCAGAGCACCGTTTGAGAAGGAGTTGCTCTGCGTCCTGTAGCGCGGAAGCAGGACTGCGGAGAGGCCTGATCATACATTTCCACGACGTGTCCTGCGAGATCTCTTTTTGGGGAAAGGCCCGCCCCCTCCCATCCGTGCAAATGTGATTTAAGTTTAGAATTATGGTTACCATGAGCTCCGCGGAAGTATCAAACGATGTGCCCATTTTGTCTGCGAGCTACCCTCCTGGGCATCTGCTTTCTGTGTTGGAGCTGCTGGTGTCTAAACCTATGGACGTTTCCAGCGAGAGCCCCATTTTGAAAAAAAGAGCCGTCGTCCATCATTACAACCGCTGCAAGATTTGAAGGCGAATTGTGCATGGCGCTAAAGCGAGAGACCCAATATGAAAAGGAACCGCCCCCGTCTTTCGGGCTTGCCCTGCCGACACGAAGGGATGCAGGGGGATAAAGAGGAGGATGAGGAGTAGGGGGCGGGGGGAAAGGGAGACGAGGAGGAGGATGTTTGTGTGTCCTGGGTTTTGCAAAAGGTTCTGGGTGGTTTTAGGGCGCCTTGCATGGGACCAGGGAGGAACATCGAGCGGGTGGCAATTGACGCCATAATGTGAAGATGAAAGGTGTGAAGGTACGTTGCACCCCGCCCTGCAGCCGTCTTCGTTGGCCGAGGGGCTGCAGGGAGGTCCTCGGCCCCCTCCCGTGGCTGTTGACGCCTTCATGTAAAGGTGTGGGAGGGGGACCCACGCAGCCCCTATGATGGAAGCTGCGCGGGGTGTGAGACTTGTTGACGGTCCTCACGGGTGAGGCCAAAAGACGGTCCTCACCTGGGGTGGGGGGGGCGAGAGGGAGGGGGCGCGCGCGCTTCTCGACGAGATGACTACTGCTGACGGTCCTGGGGCGGGATTCCTGAAAAAGGAACCCCAAACGGAGTGCACAGTTTTGACACCGAAACTGAATGTGCCTTGCGCACTCTTTATCCCATGTGGTGGGATAAAAGCTGGGGGGGAGACGCAAAAAAGGGGGAAGGGAGGAGGGGGGAGGGGGGAGGGAGTTGTTGCGTAACCCCCACCCTCGTCGACCACGAAAGGCAGGTAGTCGAGAGGGGGGGCCGTGCTTCTCGAAGATGTGGTTCCTGATGACGCGGTGCCTGCAGGGGGGACGGTAAGCCTGGCAGGGATTACACACAATCTCCGGCCACCGCACGGCCGGTTCGACGGCCTGCAAAGGCATCCAAGAACCTCCGAAAATCTCCAGAGAACCCAGGAGGCCTCCGCGAGCAACCGTTCAACAGTTTTAACGCCAGCGCGCGTCACGAAGACCAGGAAGATCTGGCTCCTGGCAGGGGCGCGGTTTGGGGCCTGATGCGGTCTCGAAAACGGGATCGGAAAAACTACTTCCCCCACCCACCACTCCGACGGGCAGCAAGGAGGGGGAGGCAGATGGACAATAGGGGGGCAAGGACGAGGGGCCAGAGAGCCGGGGGGGGAGAGGTTCTGAGAGCACCAAAACAAGCAACCGACAAGAAAGACCTGTCCTTTTCGGTATCCCTGTCCTTGATGAGCACTGGTTAGGTGGTGGGGAGCGGGGCCGACCCCCAAAGGTGACGCCGCAGCGGCACGGGTCGACCCGTCACCCGAGTGGGCTGGGTGCCGAAAAGGATCAACACCCTGTGGTGACAGGTTTAAAGGTGGGGGGCGGCCATCATGCCAGCATGCGTATCAGTACTGACGTTGACCAGCACAATAAGCCGGCATGGGAATAAATCCCGTTCACGGCCTTAAGGAGGAAAATCGAGCGGGTGGCAGTTGACGCCATAATGTGAAGGTGAAAAGGTGTGGAGGTACGTTGGACCCCTCCCTGCAGCCGACTTCGTTGGCCGAGGGGCTGCAGGGAGGTCCTCGGCCCCCTCCGGTGGCCGTTGACGCCTTCATGTAAAGGTGTGGGAGGGGATCCACGCAGCCTCTATGATGGAAGCTGCGCGGGGTTTGAGACTTGTTGACGGTCCTCACGGGTGAGGCCTAAAGACGGTCCTCACTTGGGGTCGGGGGGGGCGAGAGGGAGGGGGTCACCACCCACCAAACCACCCCAACCCAACCCGAAGGCCCCAATTTATCCTCGATTTCCAGTGGGGGGGGGTCGTGGAACATCGAGAAAACACGTATGGAACCCGTACCCCCCCCAACCCGAAATTCGGGTCTTCGGGTTGGGTTGGGGTGGTCTGGTAGGTAGTCAGGGGGCGCGCGCGCTTCTCGACGAGGTGGCTACTGCTGAAGGAGTGGGAGCGAGCGGAAGGTGTGGTAGTGAGAGTGGGTGTGGGAGGAGTAGGAGTGATATGGGGAGCAAGAGGAGGCAGAGAAACAGACAGGATGAGAAGGAGGAGGAAGAGGAGAAGGAGGAGGAACATAACCAGTGGCAGGTGAAGCAGCAGGAGCAGAAGGGGCATACGGAGGGCGCGCGCGCGGGGCGCGCGCGCAGGTCCGGCACCGTGCGCGGTTTCGTCTCGAAGCACCTGCTGGAGGCGGGCTTCGCGCGGCAGGCCTCGGATGGCCTGCTTCTGTGCACGCGCAGAGGCGCCGCCGCGGCCGCGAGCGCCGGTGCCGTCGGCGCCGAGCGGCGACGGCGCCGACGACGCTGGCGAGGATGCAGACGCCGACGCCGACGCCGACGCCGACGACACCGCCGACGTCTCCGGCGTGGGCGTCGGCGCCGTCGGCGGCGCCGTCGGCGGCATCGCCTGCGGCGTCGGCCCTCGTCGGAGCTCGTCGTCGTCGTGGGACCGTCGTCGCCGTGCTCGGCCTCGGCCCACTCTGGCGTTCGCTTCGCTTCCCGCCACCTTCCCCTGATCCTTCCCTCTTTACCCTCCTTCCTGGGCCTGCTCCTGCTCCTCCTCCAGTTCCCCCTTCACCTCCACCTCCTCCTCCTCCACGTCCTCCCCCTTCTGCCTTCTTCTCCGCCGCTCCTCAGAACTCGCCCGCGGAGGCGACAAGGAAGAGGCTGCCGAGGTGTACACGCACCTGCCGGCGCCGAAGACCATCGGGTGTGGGTTCGTGCCCTCGGGCGGCGGGGAGGACTCCCCCCATCCACCCTCCTCCTCCTCCTCCTCCTCCTCCTCCTCCTCCTCTTCTTTCTCTTCTTTCTCTTCTTCCTCTTCCCTCCCCATCCTCCCCTTCCTCTCGCTCCTCCCCCCGCCCTTCCCCCTCCCCTCCCCCCTCCTCCTCCCCCTAATCCTTCAGTTCTGGGCGACGACCTCCCCGGTCCTCCCACGTTCCAAGAACCTTTGGACGGCGCGGGCCCTTGGAGCCCTCGACCTCGCCCGCGGGGGGCCTGCTTCTGTTCGTCCGGGGCTACTCTCCAAGCGGCCCCCGGGCCGCGGCCTGGAAGCTGCCCCTGGGCGCCCAAAGTGGCGAGAACCTTCAGCACGGGATGGAGTCGCTGGAGGTCCGAGTCGCTCTCGCCCGAGTTGTCTTCTGGCGGCCCCAACCTAGCCCAGTGCTCCTGGCAGCGATTGAGGACGTTTTCGAGCGGCCAGCCTTCCCCGTCCTCGTCACCGCCCGCGCAGACAGGGTGAGGGAGGGAGGGAGTGAGGGCGGAAGGAGGAGAAGGAGGAGAAGGAGGAGGAGGACCAGGACCAGGACCAGGAGGAGGAGGAGGAGGGATTGCAGAGGAGGAGGAGGAGGAGGGATTGCAGAGGAGGAGGAGGAGGAGGAGGAGGAGGAGGAGGAGGAGGAGGAGGAGGAGGACGAACACGGAGGAAGGAGGAGCAGAAGCCCGACAACGTTTCTGCCAATGTTTTTGGCCTCAAGAGGCATCCGGGGATCCCTGGAGTTTGAAGCCCTGGGCCTCTTTTCCAGGCGATCGTAGGAATCTCGGGGGGAGGGACAGGTGGTATGGGCCAAGCTGGTTGTGCTCGCGCCACACCTGACATGCGACCCTCCCACCCATCCTTTCACACTGCGTATATTAATTTCTGATCCGCCGACTGGTATCTTCTCGAGGACTGGGTATCAAAATGGTGGTTGCAGGATTTGATTTACCGTTTGCTAGACTCAGAGGGGCGGATGAGTTTGAGGAGGAGGAGGACCTGGAAGGAGGAGGGAGCATTGTTTTCCAGGCTCAGCTACATGAGGCCAGCGATAAGCTCTTTGCCCCCCTCATGATGTTGCCCCACCCCCACCGCCAGAGCCTCTTTAAGCGAATGGCGGGACTGTCTGAGGATTGGGGAAGGAACTGGTGACGGGTCGGAGGACGTTCTAGGGGTGAAGGGCGATGGCCCCGCTCCATCCAACTTCTCTTTTTCTAAGCATGCACTCTTTTGACGGCATCCCCCGATCCCATGTAACTCGAGCCCTTGTTTAGTCAGGATGTCTGAAGTGAGGGGTTATGCATCTCCACCTCTACCCCAACCTGTTTTGTTTTCAGTCCTCCATAATATCGTTTCCCCCTCTCCCCTTCCGCCCCTTTAGTATCGGCCAAGGCCCCCAGGGTTGATATGCCTACCTGTGCTTGGCCTGTGAGCTCGAAGTTTGGGGGATGGGTGTTGCTGGAGCAGCATGGATGGTGGCATCTGAGTTTCAGACACAGGGCGGCACTGCTTGCTAGGTTCGCAGTCTCCACCTTGTCTCTTCCAGGCTACGTAGCTACATGTCTGGAGGTCTTTGCTAAGAAGGAAGGTGGAGGGCCTCCTGGGGCAGCATGATATTTGGCAGCACTGATGATGGGATGTATGTCGGGGTGTCCTCTCCCTTCCTTCCCCTTCCCCCACGCCTGCGCCCGCGTGCGTCTCGTACATGGGCCACGAGCCCATCGAGGGAGGCTCGGCGCGCAGGGGGGATGGGACGGTCATCGATGTCTCTTTCCGTTCGGGTTGGTTGGTTCCAAGTTTCCTTGTGTAGGCGTGCGCCTTGCGCGCCCAGCGTAGGCTTACCCAGGGAGGTTCAGTTGCGCCTTCTACCCCTGTTGCGCCCCTCTCTGTTGCTGGGCCTCCGAGCTGTGTTTGGCTTTCAGGCTCATGTGCCGCAGTGTCGCAGGAAGGAGGAGGAATCATATCATAAGCAGGAAGAGGAGCAGGACGATGGCGGAAGGCGGCGGAAGGCCGCGCTGGGTCCATTGGACCGTTGCGAACGACGGAAGCAACGCCTCGACTTTCAATGCTAACATAGCAGAAAGACCCAACACGTTTCCATACAAGGAGCACAGTCGATACAATGTGTTTAAGTCCTCCTCGCGCAAGCCTGATCTGCGAGAAGCGGGATCACGCTGTCGGCGCATTGTCAGGTGAAATGGGGAGAATACTATGCAGTTGTCATGTTGAGAGACAGGGAGATCGGGCAGGAGTCGTGAGGTGTGGCGTAGGATGAGGGGAACCCCGCCCCCCATCAAGAAAACGCAGCAGACCCCCCGCAGAACTCACTACCCCAGTCTCCCATTTCGTCCAAGCGCTGTCCTTCCTGCCTTCTCCTGCCGCTGGCGCTGGTGGCGGACTCGTCTGATGTCCCACGCCATCGAGCCCATCTGCTCACCCTGGCCAAAGTTGTTACGGTCAGGAGCTTTGGCTTAGCGTAACGTTCCGCCCGTTCTGGCGCACCACGCTTCGGGGCGCGACACGCTATCCACTTCGCGGTCCCCAGAGGTCAACATACCGAGCTTCTCCGAGCATCCCGCCCCGCGCGGAGCGGAGCTTCACGCTATCCGCCTGCACGGCACAGCGCGTCGCCGGGGCCGCCGCGGCGACACGCTCAGCGACAGTTCCTGACCGTAGGAGCTTCCGCCGCCCCCGCACGGGTGTGTCCAGTCGAAACCGATCGTAAGGGTGGGTCACCTTCTCGAGGGTGCCCTTGTACTCTTGCCTCCTCGGTTCACCTCTGACCTCTCTCGAAGGCCAGCCCCGCTCGGACAGCTTCGACATGCGCGTCCGAGGGGCTTGCATCCTGATCGCGCATTCCAGACCTCCGACGTCATGATTTTGTCATAACCTCGACGCCCAGAGGTCTCGACCCACTCCCTGGGACCGGTTCTCCATCCCGGGTCGCTTTGGTGGCGGTCCTGAGGCCCTGCGAGGGCCCCCCGGAGGCCGACAACAGCAGCGAACCACCTTCCAGCGTGATTTTTGTTATGCGCCGAGGGGGTCTGGGATCCTTCCTGTCGGTTTTGACTCCGGGGCTGGAGGGCGCGGGAGCCCGTGCCGGTAGCTGGCATGTCGACCGCCGCGCCCGCTCCCCGCCCCCAGCTCGCACCTCGCCGTGGCCTTCTCCCGCCCCCGGGGGCTCCCTCCGCCTCGGGCCGTGGGGGGCCACTCGGGCCAGCCGTTACCAGCTTGAAGCATGTCTCCATGCCTCCGGGATGGGGCCCGAGTGGGCGTGGTCGGAGGATCGCGCCGTATCGCCGATGCATCGGCGATGCGGCTCGATGCGGAGCCCGATCTTCTCCACGCGGACGTCGCCGCTGCATCACCGATGTCGCCGATGCATCGACGATGCATCGCCGATTTATCGGCGATGCGGCGAGATCGTCCGACCCCATCTACTCCGACCCCATCCAGAATGCTTCTAGTATCCCTACCCCAGTGTTTGGCATCACCTTGCCTCGGTGCCGATCCTGGGGATCCTCCCAGTTCCTGAGGGCACATCCCGAAGATTGTCATCGCTCTGGGCCTGCCGATCTCAGAAACAGGGTAGGGATAAGTTCGAGGCTGGTGAAGACCGACCTGCCAGCGGCGGTCTCCCCGAGGGTACCCCGAGGGCCCCCCCCCCCCGAGGTCCCCCCCGCGGGTGTTCCCCGGGCCCCCCGCGAGCCAGGGACAAGTCTCGACGGAGGGTTTGCGTTAGTTCGGCCTCTGCTGGCCCTCGCAGGGCCTCGGGACCGCCACCAAAGCGACCCGGGGTGAAAAGCCGGTCCTCGGGAGGGGGTCGAGACCTCTGGGGGTCGACGTTGTGAACAAAAACAGGACGTCGGGGGTTCTGAGGACGCCGCCTCCGCCCTCCTGGGGGAGGGCGGGTTCAAGGTTGAGAGCGTTGGGGGCGGATCCAAGCGACGGCGGCAGCAGCGAACCGAGCTGGGCAGCTCATGCCCACTCTGCTGCAAGAAAATGGCGTCGCGGAGGTCTGGGTCCGCGGGCCCCCGAGGTCCCCTCGAGTGCCACGAGGCCCTCCGAGCCCCCCCCCCCGCTCCCCTCACGAGCGGCGCGCGCGCTCGTCATCCACGCCCTCGTTGTCTGGATTCCGCGTCGTGATCCCTTGGGATCTCAGCGGTCCAACATGGACGGATACGTTCCGCGCGTGGCATCCGCGGGTCCTTCGGCTACGGATATTTTTTCCGCCCACGACCCCCCGCGAAAGGCCCCGATGCTGGCCTGCCTTTCCACGGCACGACGCGCCCCCATCCCCCCCCCCCCCGGGAGGAGTTCCGGGCGGTGAGCCCGCACCACTCCTTCGTGTTGCGGCTGCAGGCGCCCCCTCCCCGGCGCCGCTCGACGCGTCGTCGTCGTCGTCGCGGACAAGGATGAGCCAGACGGGGCTAGAACGAGGATAAGTCCGTTCCAGACCCTTTTCGAACGCTCTCAGGTTATTTTAGGGTGCTCCGAGACGGCCGCGGCGACCGAGACATCCTTCCGAGCGGCCGGATAACAGAGATTCGCGATTTATCATCACCCGAATTTATCCTCGTCCTGGTTCCGTCTTAATGAGGGGGCGGGTGGGGTCCGAATGGACGTGGTCGGAGGATCGCGCCACACTGCCGAGGCATCGGCCGCGCGGCACGCTGTGGGGCCCGATCTTCTCCGTGCCGACGTCGCCGATGCATCGCCGACGTCGCCTTTACATCGGCGATGCGGCGCGATCCTCCGACCCCATCCACTCCTCCTGCTCTTCCTCTTCCTCCTCCTTCTCCTCCTCCTCCTTTTCCTTCTCCTCCTCCTCCTCCTTCCTCCTCCTCTTCCTCTCCTCTTCATTGGAGGTGCGTGAACGAACACAGCAGAGAGAACAAGAGCGCAGTCTGGGAGACCTCTAAAGAGGGGGACTGAGGGAGAGAGGTGGGGCGGCGGTGCAAGTTAGATGCCCTCGCAGAAGGCTCCTGCGGGCGGCCGGGTGCTGCTCCGAGACCCGTCTCTGGCACCCAGGAGGATGGAGAAGGTGGAGGTGGAGGAGGAGGAGGAGGTGGAGGAGGAGGAAAACCAGGATGATGATGGATGATTATGATGATGATGATGATGATGATGATGATGATGATGATGATGATGATGATGATGATGATGATGATGATGATGATGATGATGATGATGATGATGATGATGATGCTGATGCTGATGCTGATGCTGATGCTGATGCTGATGCTGATGATGCTGATGTGATGATGATGATGCTGATGCTGATGCTGATGCTGATGCTGATGCTGATGCTGATGCTGATGCTGATGCTGATGCTGATGCTGATGCTGATGCTGATGATGATGATGATGATGATGATGATGATGATGATGATGATGATGATGGTGATGAGGATGCTGATGCTGATGCTGATGCTGATGCTGATGCTGATGCTGATGATGATGCAGGATGAGGAACAGGAGGAGGAGGTGGAGGAGGAGGAGGAATAGCAGGAGTAGGAGGAGGAGAAGGAGGAGGAGGAGGAGCAGGCGGAGGATGAGGAGGAGGAGGAGCAAGAGAAGGAGAAGGAGGAGGAGGAGGTGGCGGTCTGGCGAGTTGTGGGGGAGGGTTTCGTTTGAAGAGTGGGTTCAACGATTTCAGTCGGAAGGGAGTGATAAGCTATGCTACATATGATGTCTTTGGAGAGTTGGGTGGGCGGGGTGGACGTGGGAGTATGGGCGGGTATTCAGGGTGAGTTTACTTGTTCCTACGGGTTTGAACGAGGATCCGTAGGAAGGTAGAGTGGTGAGGGGAAGGACAACATTCGAGAAACTCTGTGGGTGTTCAAGAAAGTTCGACAGTTCTCAGGATCGTATCGCCGATTTTGATGGGGAGCCGGTGTAGGGGAGAACGAGCAGGAGCACCATGAGGAGGAGGAGGAGGAGGAGGAGGAGGAGGAGGAGGAGGAGGAGGACGGATGAGGAGGGGTAGGGAGGCACGAGGAAGTGGGAGGGATGGACATGCAAGGCGCAGCGAGCAAAACAAAGGGGGAGGATGCTAAGGAGGCGACGCAGGAAACAGGGCGAGGAGGAGGAGGAGGTGGAAAAGGGAGGGGGAGTAGGGATGATGGAGATGAAGGAGGAGGAGGAGACGGAGAAGGAGAATGAGGGAGGACGAGGAAAAGGATGAGGAGGGAGGGGAGGAGTGAGGCGGTTCCCGCAGGCAGACGGGACCTCGCGGGTGAGCCATGCTCTCTGTCGGCTCTCGCTCAGAGACGCCAGCCGAAGAGCTTTCTCGGTGAGTGGTCTGGTGGCTCTGTGACCTCCACTGCCTGGAACATTTGCTTAGCGTGTTGCGCCGCTGGTTCTGGACCTCCGCGCTGCTGCGCGACACGCTTTCCCACGTCCCCTTACCCAGACGTTAACGTCCCGAGCCTTTCTCAGTCTCCCGTCCCGCGGAGCGGAGCGACGTGCTATCCGCTCGCACGGCATGCCGTGCCGCCAGTGCCGCCGCCGCCGCAGAGGGCTGTGCCGCTGTGGTTTTTTGCTATTACGGTAGTTTTGTGTCCTGTCGACGCGGCGGCGGTTCCAGCGCTGCGCTGAAGGTTGAGCGTTGCCAGTGGCCCAGAGTCGGCAGACGTCGAACGATCCGCGCCATCGGAAAGCCAGGGTCGCTCCAGGTGGAACGACCGATGCGCAGTCAAGCAAAAGCGACGTACATGCCGTCGCAACAGGAGCCGGCCGTGGGGCGGGTTGGAGCTTGAACAACCAGCGACCGTGTCTCACCGCTGCGGCACGAGGGCCGCCACTTGATGGGGGCAAGCAGGCCTGGGCGAGGTGTGCCTTTCTCGTGTCGGCCAGCAGCAGCACGAGCGTGCTCTCCTGTGCTCATCTTGCGGGCTTGCCTGCACTGAAGGGGCGGCCGAAGTTTCGCCCAGGGGCACAGGAGACGTTTCACCAGAATTCGATGTTAAGTTAAACTTTAACGTTTACGGCAAACATGCACGTGCACGTACTCTTGATAGGGTAGGGCTTTTGCTGGGGGAGCTTTCGGAGCTGACGTGGGATGTTATTTGTTTTAGCGAGACCCGTGCAGCGTCTGATGACATTGACCTTGACAGGGTGTCGCCGTTTCATAGCCGCATTTGGCCCATCTAGATACGCAGGGGTGGCTATCTGTCTGCATGCTCGACACGCGGGAGGTGTCACAGCTACGCGTGCGCAGTGTGGCCGAGTGCTAGCAGTTGACATTGACATCCACGGCAGTGCTTGCACGTTCCTTTCTGTATACGTGCCACACGCTGGGTACCCGCGCGATGATCTAATACAATGTTATACATTTTTCAGCAGGAGGTAGATTTTGCTAGGAGGCGATGCTGGAAAACATGCATAGCAGTTGATTTAAATACGCAGTTTAAATTCGGAGAAAGAGGGCGCGTATTACAAACGTTTTGTTCCGAGAACGGCTGAAAAGCCGGCAGTGTTCGACATGCGCCTGATGCATGGACGTTTCGAAGTTCACTTGGCGTCAAGCGGGTTGTAGACTATATGCTATTTGATGTTTTGTTTCATTGCCAGTCTTGCTGTCCAAGTGACTTTTTACATTTGGGCTCTGACCATCGCGCAGTTCACGGGGTGTTTAATGTAAGCCCAGCCTCTCGACGCCGGCAGCACAATGCGGTTCGATGGAAACCTCATTTAAATGCCCAGGGCCGAGACTTGATTTATGAGAGGGTTGTGCAGGAGCGTCTGTCTGAATCTCAGCCGCCTTCATTTTTTGATCTGGATGGCTACGTCGCTGCGTCAGCCCGGCAAGCAGCGACAAATAGCAGTGCGGTTCGTTCGCGTGCGAAGCCATGGGGCGCACCTGAACTACTAGAGCTGCGCCGGAGGAGGCGCGAGACATGTGCCCCACAAGAAAGGTGCATATTGTCTAAATTGATTTCTCGGGGGCACCGGAAACGCATGCGTGAGTATTGCGATGAGCGTGCTGTTTCGCAGAAGCGAACATTTGAAGGTATCAAGCACTTGCATCGCGTGCACATGTTTCCGGTGCAGCAGAGCAAACGTTGTCCATTAGATCATAATGTGTTGAAGGTTCTGCTCGAACACATTTGTTCCACGGACTGCGACGCTGCCAGAGACGAGTGGGCAGCGGCGCATTGCAACATTGATCCATATGATGTCGCGCCGTTTCGCCTGGAAGAGTTTCGTCAAGCTCCCTCAGCACATGAAGCGCGGAAAGTGTGGAGATAAATGCGGCATCGATCTTGAAGTGTTTGCGTTCGGTACCGATGCTCTGCAGAGGTACCTTTTGTTGTGTTTGAACGCGCTGCTGAGCACTGGGTGCATAGATCCCACGTGGCAGGAGATGCGTTTTACCATGTTGCCGAAGACGGGCCAGGCATGATGTAAAGAATTTGCGTCCCATTGCGGCGGTGAGCAGGTTGACGGTTCACCGCCGGCGCCAGTGCTCTCCGGGTTTTGGACGCTACCGAGTGACTCGTAGAGTTTCCCTAAGAGCGTTAGCGGCGAAGCTAGAAGAGTAATTCCGGCGCGCTGGGAGGCTAGTTGGCAAAACAATCTCGACGGAAGTTTTGGGAACTTTTGACATGTTTAAATTGAATTTCTCGAAATTCAATCATTCGTTAGAGCTCTAGTATTTTTCGTCTCCATATTCGATCTCATTCCCGCTCGCCGTCTTAATCTCAGTTCGATCGGGTACCTATTACTGCCAAAAAGCACTCAGGCGGGATCGGCTGTTTCGGTCATCTTGACAGGTGCTGTCGGTCCCAGTTCCGGCGCGGGGTGCAGCTAGTAACTCGTAGAGCTTCCCTTAGCTAGTTACTGGAAGCTTAAGAGTAATTCCGGCGCGCTGGAGGGCTAGTTGGCAAGAAAAATCTCGACGGACCTTTTGGTGACTTTTGCTCGGTTGAAGATGCAAGATACTCGCTCGCCTAGTTTTCTCGCGTTTGCAACCCGTTTTAGAGAGGGAGCACACGCATGACCAAGTAGGATTTTGACCAGGCCTATCCGTGGACGACGCATTTGTCGTTCTGGAGGATCTTTGCACGAAGGCCTGGGGGTGGCAGCTTCCACTTTGGATAGCCAGCACTGGTCTCATTAAAGCTTTCGACAGGCTGGAGCATCACTTGCTTTTCCCAAGCGTTGGTAGAAGAGGGAGTTGATGTAGAATACGTGAGTCTCTTGTCAGACATCTACAGTGCCCAATGGGGCAGCTTTATCGTTTGACATTACGCGCGGAGTCAAACAAGGCGATGTTTTGTCATCGCTGCTTTTCAACGCTGGACTGGAGCACGCAATCCGGAGTCTCAAAATCCGAGCTTAGCAGTGCGGCTTCGACGTTGGAGACGTCAAGTTATTCAGCAACATCTGGTACGCGGATGATATTTTATTGTATGCACGTTCTGCCGCACAGGCGACTCGCATGTTGGACACTTTTTCGGAACAGTTGTCGGCGTGCGGCCTTTTATAGAATGCAGACAAGACGCGCATATTCACTAACGACGTTTTTGTGTCCATCGTTGAAGAGCCTCTCATGCTGCAGTTTACCAGATGCCAGTTGCCTGTCATGACGTCCCAGGTGGTTCACAAGTATCTTGGTAAGAAATTCGGAGGGGACTTGCGCAGCAGCATATCGCATTTCAATGTAGATTGTCGCATGGGGTGTGCATGGGGTAAGTTTCACTAGCACAAAACAGTTTTGTTGAATAAAGTTATATCGTTGCGCATTCGTTTGAAACTGTTCGACGCGGTTGTTACGCCTACCGCGGTCTATGGTCTTTCGACGACAGCAACGACAGCAGCCCATTGGTCGCGGATTGCGTCGACGCGAGCAACACTACTGAGCAATATGGTCGGTTTCAACAAGGATCCCAGCCAAAGTTGGGACGAAGCGGGGCGACCTTGCAAGAAAAAACGTGTGTCGATTTAGGCATTTTTCTTGTGTCAGACTGGTTCGTTGTGATGGATCGCTCCCTGTGGCGCCTTGTGGCGCGCCTTGCCACAGGTGACCCGCAAACGTGGCCAGCGCAAATGTTGCGATGGCGCCCGCCCGGAGTTCGACGCCGAGGCCGGCCGCGACGTAGATGGACAGATGCCGTCGATTCTTTCTTAGGACAAGAGAAAGGTGCGAGCTTATCACATGTTGTAGGTCGCCAAGAGCGTTTCCCTTGGCAGCGGATGGAGATTGCATTTTGAATTACATGTGGTGGAACGCATTGTGTAAGATGTAGTTTTATATCGATAGTATATACATTACTTCTCTTGCATGTGCGTTTTCTTGCCGTGTTGTTTCACGCCTTGCCTTCCGTCTCCGTTTGTGGAGCGAGCGGTTTTCTGGCCCTTCGATCAGACTTGACTTGACTTGAACCGGGATTCAAGTCCTGCACACGTGTGTACGTAGTGCCTCCTGTTGTCAATACGCTGACATGAGGACCACTTCGGGCCCAGGAGGGGATCTGGTTTGTGAGCCGCTCCTCAGATCTAGCTCGGGGAACCTATTCATGGCCGAGGCTCGCCGTGGCATGAACAACCGCTTCGCTTCTTATTCAGCGTTTCTTATGATGGCGCGCTGACTGCACACAAAAGATGCGGGACAGCACACCGTTCAATACTATGCTCTCTTTGCAGTGCGGGGCGTCGCGGTGTGGTTTGGCACCCGGGGGCTGTTGCTGGGTGCCCCTCCCTGGCCCACGTACCCCCAGAATGCCTCGGATCCCGCCCTCGCGGATGAGAGGGGTGAGATCGTCCTGCCCCCGTCCTGGTCCTGCTCCGCAGCCTAGATCACCCGCAGGGGCGCGAAGATATCGCTCTTCGCGCGTCGCGGTCTGCACTGGAGGGATTCCCGTCTCAAGGAGGGGCGACGCAATGGCACGAGGGCGCGAAGATAATCGCTCGTCGCGCATCGCGGGGCGCGATGCGAGAAGTTAGGTGCACATCTCCTCCCTGCCCCGCCCTTCCCTCCTCCCTCTCCCCCCTTCCGTGGCAGCAGCTGCAGTGCCGCCCCAGGTCTTGAGTCCTACAGGCATGTCTGGAGGCCACCTGGAGGCCTCCAGAGGCCCACGCAGTGCCCACGATGCAACACCAACTCGCTTCTCAAACCTCGATCCTCGATCCTCGATCTTCCTCGGAGGCTCGATGAAGCGGACCGTGTCGAGCGATGGCCCCGACGCCCTCGGTACCCTCCCCTGGCCGGTGATACCCTCCCCCAGCCGGTGCCGGGGGAGGGCAGAACAAACACCGAGAGGAAAGAATCGAGACAGGAGGGACGGTCCACGAAGGATGATGTCTCCCCTCCTGAGCTGGGTTTACCCCTACGGTCGGGAACTTTGGCTGAGCGTGTCGCGCCGCCCGTTCTGGCCCACCACGCTTCAGAGCGACACGCTATCCATTCACCGGTCCCCAGGCATCAGCGTCCCGAGCCCTTCCCAGCCTCCCGCCCCGCGAGACGAGGCGAAACGCTATGTCCACTCGCAAGGCCCATCGCGTGTCGCGGGGGCCGCCGCGGTGACAAGCAGGAGTTCCTGGAACCGCTCGCTCCCCCTCAATGGAGGGGAGAAAGGCCCCAAGCCCCCGACGTCATGTCGTTTTGGTAACGTCGACCCCCAGAGGTCTCGACCCTTTCCCCGGGACCATTCGATAAATCTTTGTAGGTGCCTCTGAGGAGGGAATTTGGAGGGAGGCTTTATTGCAACATGGTTGGTGAGTTTTGGGTCTACACTGGTCCCTCTTCCTCCTCCTCCTCCTCCTCCTCCTCCTCCTCCTCCTCCTTCCCAGACCCCCGACGTCATGGTTTGTTCATAACCTCGACCCCCAGAGGTCTCGACCCATTCCACGGGATCGGTGTTCCATCCGAGCCGTTTTTCTTGGACGGCCCCGGAGCCCAGCAAGGGCCCCAAGAGGCAGAAAATTGCGAAAAACATCCGTCGTGATTTTTCAATGACCCCCGAGGGGGGGTGGGTCGGACGGGGCTAGGACGAGGATACATCCATTCCAGAGCGTTCCAGCACGCTCTCAGAGCGTTCCAGAGCGCTCTGAGAAGGCCGCGGCGCCCGAGGCATCCTCCAGAGCCGCCAGATCTCAGGGATCCCCGACTTCTTAACTATCCTCGTCCGATTCGTATCCTCGTCCTGGCCTCGTCTCGGGGCCGGGATCGCTCCCCCTCCAGGTGGGTACGGCGGCGGGGGCGACGGGCGGCCCCGCCGCGGAGAAGCCCGCCAGGGCCAGACCTTCCCCTTCGAGGTGGGCTTCGGGCCCGTGGACGGCCGAGGGCCGGCCGCCTCAGAGGGGCCCGCCGATCGAGGTCTCTTGGAGGCCTCTTGTAGGCGCATTAGGCTGTCTGGAGGCAATATCTGGCGTCTTGGATCGCCTTTGGACCGTCTCGGACCCTGTGGAGCTCGCTTGGAGGCCATTTGAAGCGCTCCTGGAGCGCTCTTGGGAGCCTGCTGGGACCTGGCCGGGACCTGGCCGGGACCTGCCCGGATCTTGCCAGGACCTTGCCGGGACTTGCGGGGGTACTTTTCGCCCAGGGATCCCCAGGGGCGGCCCGCGCGCGCGAACTAGAAATATGGTTAACGGGTTACCGGAGATCTTAGTACGCCCTTGGCCCGTTGGGCAGGCGAATTTGTAAGGAAAGGGAAGGATGATGATGAGGAGAAGGAGGAGGAGGAGGAGGAGGAGGAGGAGGAGGAGGAGGATAAGGAGGAGGAGGAGGGGAAGGGAGGAGGAGGAGGAGGAGGAGGAGGAGGAGGAGGAAGGAGGAGGAGGAGGAGGGAGGAGGCGCAGCTGTAGGAGCAGGAGGAAAAGGAGGATGTGGAGGAGGAGGAGGAGGAGGAGGAGGAGCAGGAAGTGGAAGGCAGCATCCCATGCGCATCTACGTGCTGACAGCGCCAGGAGTAGGTGGAAGGGAGGAGGATGATGAGGAGGAGGAGGAACAAGTTGAGGAGGAGGAGGAGGAGGAGGAGGAGGTGAATGAGGAGGAGGTGAAGGAGGAGGAGGGGGAGTTGGAGGAGGAAGGAGGGAGGAGAGAGGAGGATGGATAGGGAGCGAGGCAGGGAGTCAGGGAGGCAGGAAAAGCATTGCAATATTGCGGCATGGATGCGCGTAGTGTGCTTCGAATGATGTGCAAGCGTGCGAAGGGGAGGCGAGGGAGGAGGAGGAGGAGGAGGAGGAGGAGGAGGAGGAGGAGGATAATGAGGAGGACGAGGAGGACGAGGAGAAGGCGGAGACGGACCAGTGCAAACCCAAGGCTCATCAACGATGTTGTAATGCACCCTCCCTCCATCATTTCTACTGAGGGACGTGCCGCGTTGGGAGACAACCGTGTGAAAATCCGAACGCGTACCAAAACACCATTCGCAGGACTTCAACGCCACGGGTCATCCTGACGGATGCGCATTGACAATCTGAAATCGTGTCAGAACACCATTCTTGGGACTTCAGCACCGCGAATCAGCCTAACTGTTTCGCCTTGACACCCAGGACCCTTCCAGAACACTGTTCCTGGTACGCAAACCATGAGAACCAGTGGAACTGTTACAACAATTTGAAACGGAATCTGAGACGAGAGCCACATTTTCACAAAGAACCGCGTTTCATCCGTGAAGCCCATTTCGAATGTTTCAAGCGAGCATGCGCTGCGCAAATACGAGAGCCTCGTTTTGAAAACCACCCGCCCTCAGTCCGTCAAGATCTTGCGATTTGCTGAAACGAAGGTGCGCGGCGCTAAGGCGAGAGCCACAGTTTGAAAGCGACCCGTTGTGAGTTTTCAATTTCAGGGTCATAAGTGGTAAGGAAGTCTCAGGCGAAACGCCCGGCATGCCCTTCCGACTGGCCTCGGATTGCGACAGGGAGGAGTCATTCAGAAGGAAAAGGAATGGAGGAGGAGGAGGAGGAGGAGGAGGAGGAGGAGGAGGACGCGGACGAGGACGAGGACGAGGACGAGGAGGAGGAGGAGGAGGAGGAGGAGGAGGAGCAGAGGAAGGAGGAGGAAGCGGGGGGGGAGGGAGGGAGGGAGGGAGTTAGTTTGTTCGACATCCACGACGCCAACACATCCGGGCGCAGGCCAGGCCCACGACATGGTGACCTGAGCCTCAGGGGGCGCAAGGTGGGGGATGCCAGGCTCGTCGGGACAGAGGGAGGGAGGGAGGGAGGGAGGAGGAGGAGGACGACTACAACAAGGAGGGAGGGAGGGAAGGAAGAGAGGGACGATAGGGAGGCAGGGTGGAAGGGATGAAGGGAAGAGGGTCGTGGACCGGCCCAGGCGCTGCAGGGGTGGGGGCCCTCCGAGGCTGGCCTTCGTCGGCATCGGCACGCGGGCCGGCAGCCATCGAGCAAGCGCTCCGCGCCGCGCCGCCGACGATAGGGGTCGTCGTCGTCGTCGTCGTCGTCGTCGTCGTCGTCGTCGTCGTCGTCGTCGTGGTCGTCGTCGTGGTCGTCGTCGTGGTTGTCGTCGTCGTGGTCGTCGTCGTGGTCGTCGTCGTCGTCGTCTTCCCGCGCGCGCGGTGCGCGCGGGTGGGAGGGAAGAGGGAGGAGGAGCATTCTAGGGATTCGTCCACGACGTAGCGAACAAACAACCAAGCCGCGCTTCACCTGACCTCCATGCGTTGCGGGATGAACGCCGACACGGCGAGCAAGCCAAAGCACGCCGACACGGCGAGCAAGCCAAAGCTGTCCAGAACACGCTGATGCCGACCAGAGTACCTCCAAGGAAGGCCATGTTCACTCACTTCGCCTACAAAGCCATGCCGAACAAGGAGTCACAATGCTGAGCACATTGAGCGTGTAGTTACGCTGAATGCCGAAAATGACGGGGCCCTGCAACCACGGACTTCCGCACCAACACTATTCACGCGAGGCTGTTTGTCCGGTTCGCCAATGTCACGCGACAGACATACAACAAAACTCTCAGCGCCCAATTGACAAGTAACAATGGGGCCGAAAACAGCATCGCAGCCGAGAACATGCCGATGGACCGCGTTTGAAACTGGCTTTGCACCACCACCCCAACCAAGAACAACCATGCGGAACTTGCGGGGGACGGCGACGAAATACGCGATGCGCAGGAGGAAGGGGAGGGGGAGAAAATTCACCCTATTTGACTTGGTGTTTTCTGTGAGTGCAACAAGCTTTGTTTTGACCAAGTCAATCTACACATGAGCCGTCGTACGAGCTGCGGACACATGTACACGCACGCATGCATTAATAAACACATATGCAATCCTCCTCATCCTCTTCCTCCTCCTCTTCCTCATCCTCATCCTCCTCCTCCTCCTCTTCCTCCTCCGCCGCCGCCTCCTCCTCCTCCTCCTCCTCTTCCTCCTCCTCCTCCTCCTCCTCATTCCTCCTCATTTCCTTCGCCTCTCCCCCTCCTCCTCCTCCTCCTCTCCCTCCGCCTCCTCCTCCGCCTCCGCTTTCCTCCTCCTCCTCCTCCTCCTCCTCCTCCTCCTCCTCCTCCTCCTCCTCCTCCTCCTCCTCCTCTGGACAATGGACACCAAGGAATGCGCTCATCCTGCGGGTCACGAGCCCGTTCAGCCTTTCTGGGCCAACGGGGGACCCTCTTGGGGAGCTTCGGGGCAGTTTTGGAGGCCATCTTGGGCGTCTTGGAGGCCATCTTGGGCGTGTTGGAGGCCTCTTGGGCTTTCTTGGAGCCCTCTTGGGGCCATCCTGGAGGCCACTTGGGGCGTCATGGGGCCCTCTTGGGGGCCTCTTGGGCGATCTTGGGGGCTTCTTGGGCCGTCTGGAGCAGTCTGAATGCCGAGAAGAAACAAATTCCAACATCCTTCAAAAACCAAGGGAATATCAATGATCTTGGCCTCTCCGGGCCCTCCTGGAGGACCTCTTGGAGGCCTCTTGGGCCGTCTGGGAGGCCTCTTGGGCCGCCTTGGGCCGTCTTGGACTCTCTTGGGCCGGCTTGGAGGCCGTCTTGGGCCATCTTGGGCGGACTTGGAGGCCATCTTGGGCCATCTTGGAGGCCATCTTGGGCCAGCTTGGCCATCTTGGAGGCCATCTTGGAGTGTTCCCCGAATCGGTTTGGAAAGCCTTCGGGGAACACGTGGGCGCCTTGAAGGTCATCGTGGCCGTCTTGGAGGCCTCTTGGGCGATCTTTCGGCGATCTTTGGGGGCTCTTGGGCCGTCTCGGGCCGTCGGAAGGCCGAAAAGAAGGACATCTCAAAATCCGTTAAACACTTACGAATAATCAATGTTTTTGGCCTCTTCTGGCCTTCCTGGAGGCCCTCTTTGGGGCCTCGTGGGCCCTTTTGGGCCAGCTTCGAGCCAGCTTCGGCCATCTTGGTGGGTTCCTGGCACGTCTGACGCCGTCGGGAGCAGTCTTGGGGGCCTTTCTGGGCCAACGGGGGACCCTCTTGGGGCGCTTCGGGGCCGTTTTGGAGGCCATCTTGGGCGTCTTGGAGGCTATCTTGGGCGTGTTGGAGGCCTCTTGGGCCGTCTTGGGGCCCTCTTGGGGCCATCTTGGAGGCCACTTGGGCCGTCATGGGGCTCTCTTGGGGGCCTCTTGAGCGATCTTGGGGGCCTCTTGGGCCGTCTGGAGCCGTCGGAATGCCGAGACGAAACACATTCCAAAATCTTTCAAACACCTAAGGAAACTCAATGATTTAGGCCTCTTCGGGCCCTCCTGGAAGACCTCTTGGGTGCCTCTTGGGCCGTCTGGGAGGCCTCTTGGGCCGCCTCTTGGAGGTCTTGGAGGTCATCATGGCCGTCTTGTGTGGCCGAACGTTGGGGCCAGACCTGCCAAGCCATCGGACCATGTGTTCCCCGAATCGGTTTGAAAAGCCTTCGGGGAACACGTGGGCGTCTTGAAGGATATCTTGGCAGTCTTGGAGGCCTCTTGGGCGATCTTTCGGCGATTTGTGGGGGCTCTTGGGCCGTCTCGGACCGTCGGAAGGCCGAAAAGAAGGAAACGTCAACATCCGTCAACAACCTACGGAAAATCAATGTGTTTGGCCTCTTCTGGCCTTCCTGGGGGCCCTGAGGCAGAAAAAAGCCAAAGCAAAAACAACAAAAAAAACATGGAAAAAACACAACAAAACAAAACAAGCTGAGACTCTCTGCGATTTTCAAATCTACCACCAGAATGTAATTGTTTTTATCGTGGATCTGAAAAACGCAGGGAGTCTCAGCTGTTTTTGCTTTGTTTGCTTTTTTCAAGTTTTTTTGTTGTTTTTTTGTTTTTGTTGTTTTTTTGTTTCCCTTGGTATTTTCCCTGGGCCTCTGGCCCTGGGTAGGCCCAGGAGGATACCAGGGAAAACAACAA